CTAGGCGCCCTCCCCACGTCGGCCGTCCGTCTTGTGGGCAAATTTCTACTTTTTTAGGGGTTTCGGGACCTAAAAACTAACACCAGAGGGAAAATAAACCACATATGTTTTTTTCATGGTAAATATCGCTAAAATGGACCAGGCATTATTCTGCCGCGTTGCCGATTTTGACAAGGACTTGCGGCCGCCGTGTGCTAAATACGTCGATTAGCTACTCGCTTCCCCCTTCGGGTTTGTGGGCAAATTTTTGCTTTTTCAGACGTTTTGGGACTTAAAAATGGACTAGCAGGCGAAAAATAAATAATATACATTATATTCATGGGAAATGCCGCTATCATGTACCAAATATTTATCTGTGACGTGTTGCCGAATTTTGCGGCCGCCGGCCACTTGCTGATGGTGCGGTACGTATGGACAATTTTTTCCCAAAAATTAATAAACGTACCGTCCCTAATAAGAGTGTACCGGGTGGACGTTCGGGCCGAAAAAAATAAACGTACCGGTACGTTTAATCGGGACATCAGAGTAGTTGCCTAGGATGCATTTTAACCTTGTTTTTATTATTTTTTTTGCCCTGTCGCTTCTTATTTTTGCTTGAAAAATCCGAGAACCCACAAATTGAATTGATGTGACCTAGATACTGTTGATACGGTTGAAGAAAGTCCTTTGCTTCCTAGTTGTTAAAGTTTTTCAATGTAACAATGCGATTTTGTTTCATTAGTTCAAAATCTATTGTTCTTAGTATAAACCAGCCTGGTATGTTCACTTCATGGCTCATATTGTAACATTTCCGGCTATCATGGTGTGCCTTGGCCTGCTTTTTTTAAATATTTCGCCCTATCACTTCATATTTTTTTCTGAAAAAATCCAAGAAGCAACAAATCAAATTGCTGTAGCCTGATATGCAAATCTTTTATAAACCCAGGTAGTAGAAATACTTAGGCCAGAGTTTGTTTTTTTTCTACTGCAGTGCCTAACTCAGTGGCTGCAGCCAGAGAGAATTTGCAGCAGCAGCTACAGCAGCAGCTGCAGGCCCCGCAGTTCTCCACCACCCAGCACTCCCTGCAGCAGGCGCAGCAGCAGCAGCCGACTCTGCAGCAGCCGCAGCAGCAGCAGCCAACCCTGCAGCAGCCTGCAGGCCTGCAGTACGAAACACCTGCAGCAGCTGCTGCACCGTCCACCTCTGCAGCTGCAGGTTTGTGTCTTGTAGAGAATCAAACTTCTGCTTCAACACAACACAACACAAACAAAAATCATAGAGTCTGTGTGAAGCACCATAGTGCACTGCCAGCTATTTTTATGTTTACCGAAGGAAAGCGTATTGTTTTTGCTCAGTTTCTTCCTCTTCTTCTTCTCCAAACAGTGACCTATGACCTGACCAATGACATGATTTGTTGACGTCTGTCACCATGGTGTCTGGTGTTGGGTTACATAATGTTGCAATTTCATGGTCTGCTCTGCTCCTGTCACCATATACTAGTAGTACATGTACATTGTATGTGAATGTGTTTGAGTAAGAATTAACAGGGCAGACCATGTCCGAAGGTAAACATTATGCATTTGCTTTGCAAATGTTACTTCTCTAGTTGATATCTATATGCCTAACCTGCACCATGTACTAGATTCAGTATAGATGTATGTTGATTTTTATTTGCTGCATTGACCACCTATATGAAGTATAAAAGAAATAATGGCAATGGTTTCTGAACACTTAAGTATGATCCATACTTCCTAAGGCCACACCAATTTAATTTCTTGGTTAACGGATTCGCCTCTTCATTTTTTTCTGATTTGCAAATAAAAATAAAAATTCAGAATCAACTGCAAAATGCTCATATTTTGCCCTGAACAGTTGAAAACAGTCCTTTTCATCCTACTTGTTACAGTTATTCCATCTTTCAATGCAATGGTATCATTAAAAGTTCAAAATTCATTGTTTAAATTTTGAACCAGCCTGGTGTGTTGACTTCATGGCTCCTATCGTACCATTTTGGGCCATAATAGGATGCCTGGCCTGTTTTTATTTTTATTTTTTTTTCGCCCGCCCGCTCCATTATTTTTCTGGAAAAATCCGTTAACCAAGAAATTAAATTGGTGTGGCCTAAATTCTGATTGGTGGAAATAAAACTTGTCTGGTGTAGGTAATTTTCAATGTCATCTGCACCAGTGCAGGTACTAGTATGCAGAAAAAAAAAGAAATTTCATTCATGGTTTGTAATAATGAGTCATTTGTCTTGAAAAAACTAAAGTCAGGGTTCTCACCAGGATTTTTTCACAGCATAGGGGCAAGGTACAGAAAGACAACTTTCGCGGCACAAGTCACGCATTTGGGCCGAAAAAATTTCAAACTCATAACCCCCTGAGACACTATTTCTCGCTTATTCAGGGTCAGATTTAGTGAAGTTAATGTTTTTCATTTGTTACAACTTCATTCTAAAGTTTTTTTTTCCAAGATTTATGAAGGTTCTCCCCCAGTAAACACCCCTATCGTATGCTGGTTGAAAGACAGCATAGGGGTCCAAATCACAGCATAGGGGGTCCAAATTACAGCATAGGGGGCCCCTATGCTCAAAAGGCCTGGCGAGAACACTGAAAGTGACAGTAAAATTTTCCGTAAAGTCTGTTGTAATTTGTATTGTAAATAATAGTCATTGTGATGTGTTGATTTAAGTTGTGTTTACTTACACAATTTAGTATGAATGTATGTGAATCAGATCGATTTCCTTTTTGTGTACAAACAAATTAACAAACGATTCAACCCCCCAACAGCCTCTCAGTCGCAGCAGAAGAAAGGTCTGTCTCTGACACGGGAACAGATGCTGGCAGCACAAGAAATGTTCCGCACCTCAAACAAGGTTAGGCCACACCAATTTAATTTGTTGGTTCTTGGATTTGCCTCTTCGTTTTTTTTCTGATTTGCAAACAAAAAAATTTCTCATTCTGAATCAACTTAAAAATGTATATATATTTAACCCCCAACAGTTAAGGAAAGTCCATTTCTTCCTAGTTGTTACACTTTTTCCATCTATCAATGCAGTAGTTTGATTAAAAGTTCAAAATTCATTATTTGGAATAAAAAAAGTAGAATGTTAGAAAAATTATGTTTTATTTCTAAAGAAACGTACTACTACAATTATTTTATTATTTTTCTCACACTTATATGTTAAGAATATTCTGTATACTACTATACATGTACATAGAACATCTTTATATAAGTGAACCTACGAAACCTACGAAACTACAGAAAAAAATTGGATACAAAGCTCCAAATTTGGGTGCACCAAGGTGTACATGCACCCAGTATTTTGAGGCCTGAGGTATGAGGTCATGAACTCTTTTGGTGACATTTCAGGGAGGAGCCTAATGGTACAGTACTGTGTGCAGTTTGCAAGAATTCTAGGAATGGTACAGGCATTTTGTCCACAGGAATGGAATGTCCACAGGCATGTCTCTGACCCACATCTATGCCCACATTCCTGGAAACCCTTGGGAAGACCTCTCTGCCCTGGATGGCCCTACTCTGTGACCCCGGGGCTTGTTCACTATACACTCAGGGGAGGAGTGCACTGTATCTGTCTAGACTTTAACAGGTACCGAGTCTTCCTCAAAATCATGAAATGATAGCAGTGCCATGCAAACAATAACCCTAACAGCAACCACCGTCGCCATGGCAATGTATGTTTTCATTGTCAGTCTTGTTTTTCCTTATTTTCCAGGTCACACGTCCAGAAAAGGCGCTGATTCTGGGTTTCATGGCGGGTTCCCGCGAGAACCCGTGTCCTCAGCAGGGGGACAGCGTCACCATCAAGCTGAGCGAACACACGGAGAGCGTGCCCAAACCGGACGGGACCGGCGAGGCCACCATGGTCGTGGATACGCTCTTCGAAATGAACTACAAAACGGGCGAGTGGAAGAGACTGAAGAAATACAGGCCAACAGTGTGATCTGTATTTCTGTCCAGTTTCTTATGAAAAAAACTTCGCACCGTCTTACAAAAAACTTTGCACCATCTTACGAAAAACCTTGCACCATTATAGAAGTGACTGAAAAAATGCAGACAAACGGAAAAATACAGGCCAACCGTGTGATCTATATTTCTGTCCAGTTTCTTATGAAAAAAGCGTCGCACCATTTTACAAAAACTTTGCTCCATCTTATGAAAAACTTTGCACCATTATAGATGAGGCTGAAGAAATACAGACCAACCGTGAGATCTGTATTTCTGTCCAGTGTCTTACAAAAAACTTCACACCATCTTAAAAAAGACTTCGCACCATTCATTATAGAAGAGAGTGAAGAAATACAGACCAACCGTGTGATCTTTATTTCTGTCCAGTCCAAATTCTTACAAAAAAACTTTGCACCATCTAAAGGATGATTGTACTGTGATGTATAAATTAGATGATAGTGACTACTTGCTACTCAAGATCAACAGTAAAAAACAGGCGTAGAAGAGACTGAAGAAATACCAAGGATGTGATCTGTGTTTTTCTTCAAATGGATAGCAAACTATCTCGTTTAAAGATAAAACTTTTGATCCAGCTCATATATGTTTACGTTTTAACATGTAGCCAACACAGATGAACTGTGGTCATAATAACAAACTATCTCCCATCTAGTAAAAGGTCAGTCTGCATTAGCCTGTACTAGAGCTGTGTACCTAAACAAATTATAGGTACAGGTACAGGTACAGGTACACAGGTTTAGGTACAGGTCCGGACCTGAACCTGTACCTGAACAATTTGACCAATTTATATGCTCTTCTGAACTCCTTCAATAACAAAAAAACATAAATAAACTTGATAGTTAAGGTTTATTCTTTGTTTATGGCGAATGCTCAGATAAAATATAGGCAAAACTAAGTTGTTTTTGTTTTCATGAACACACTGTCCTTACACAGGGACCCATTGTGGACCAGCTATTTACACATTTGAGGTCACAAATAGGCATAAAATTAGTGTGAAATTGTTTAGGTACAGTACCGGTACTGAGGGATTAGGTATTTTGGACCTGTACCTAATCAATTTTTCCGGTACAGTATCGGTACTGCGTACCGGTACACAGCTCTAGCCTGTACACATTTCAGCTCTTTGTCCAGTGCTCAAAGAGGTAGCAAAAAGTGAGGTTTAGTCAGGCTAAATTTTCATGTTCATCAATACATGACAATGCCCACTTATTGTTCAAGATGAGCAATAAATTGAAAGTGGAAGAGACTGAAGAAATACAGACCAACTGTATATATCATGACAATTGTGTATTTTTGTCCAGTCTCAGAGAAGAAAGAGATTTCTTGCAGTAGGGTCAGTACAAAAGGATAAAATTTAAACGGAAATACATGTACAGTGTGATCTGTATATCTTAATACATGTATGAGCAAATTTAAAAACCTGTAACATTATGATTGATGTCACCCTGTGAGATTAAAAAAACTGTAAGATGGAAGAGTACAAGACACTCGAGTAGGTACAAAGCTACTCCATTTAATTTAACTACTTAGAAATAGAATAAACTTCCTTTATTAAAGTACATGTATTATGAACCTACATGTAAATGTGGCAAACTTTATGAAATAAGACTAAGCTGTAACTTCCTGGACACTTAGATTACAGAATTGGGACTTGCAAGGTTGATGCAGTCAATTTTCGGTTGACTGCATCAACCTTGTTCACGGAATTCGACCCGTCTACTCTTGGAACGTTGGCGAACTTTGTTTAAAGCCCTTACACTGTGCCTTAAACATGCATACACCTTTCTTCAGTAGTGCAGTTTAAATAGGCTAAATGCTATTGAACCTGACAGTACAGAGATAGATATTGTAGTGACTACTATAGTGGCCTAAGGCCACAGCAAGTAATTTTTATGGATGACATCAGCGCGCATTAATTTTCGCCTGATTTTGGAAAGAATAACAAGACATTTTGTTGCCTTCTGACAGTGGTCAACATGCCGGAAATGGGCAAAGATGCCTGTTGCCATGCCGGAAGGTGGATGGCAGATAACTATGAAGAGAGGAGACAAGAGAAGGCTCTGATTTAATGTTGTGTTTCTTACTTTGATGCAATGATATGTGATGTTGGCTGTGTATATGTGATGTTCCCACTGAATCAAAACCATTTGTACAATGATGGAGTCAAAATTGAACATGTAGGAACCTTGTTTTTTCGGCCCATCTTGTTTTTTTTCGCTCGCTCGCATTAGATTTGGAGTCTGCGGAGGATGTCATCCATAACATTTACTTGCTGTGGCCTAAGAGACAATGTGCTGGGGTAAGGTATGAATCCTTGATCTAGTGATTACATACCAAGCATTCTTTAAACTCTTACAGCAGCAGCCAAGAAGGCACCTACCAGAAAGCAAATTGCACTAAATAATTCACCAGTTTCCCATCCCCAGAATGCTTAGCGAAAACAGGGGGTCTAACCTCATTTGCATAGGACAGGAAGGCATCGGAATGATCCTGTTGACAATAAACAGCTTGTTTTTCACTGTGATTTGAGGTGTTGAGGCATTTTATGCTTAACATTAATCAAATTACTATGGGTCGAATCTAACAGCAAATAGATAATGAAGTTTGTGTTCATTTCAACTTGGAACATGTGGTTTGTAACGTTACAGCATTATATAGCGTTACTACTATAACGTTACAAAAAATTCATTCCAAAAAAAATAATTCTCAATTTGTTGTCAGATTCAACCAATAGTAATTTAATTAACCTTGAGCATAAAATGCCCCAACACCTCAAAACACAGTGAAAAACAAGCTGTTTAACGTCAACAGGATCATTCCGATGCCTTCCCGTCCTATGCAAATGAGGTTTAGACCCGTTTTCGCAATGCATTCTGGAGATGGGAAACTAGTGAATTAAAGAACATGAGTTAGTAAAAAGATCACACAGCTCTGTCCTAATGTTCCTCTCTCATCACACTGGTTGAACCCACCAATATGGCGGACGCTAAATTACGTCATAATCACGTGATTAAAAAAAATTGCACAGCAAGTCCCAACCCCTTTGCATGTACATGTAGCAATCCGAAGTGGCAGTCGTAGCGTTTCTCAGATAAAAAAAAGACATGTTCTCATCCGCCTAGCCTCCTGTGCAGGCTCCGGAGCGGGTGGGAATTTTGATACAGCGTTTTGAGGAGTTTTTTAAACGCGTTATTTTAATAGTCAGCCATCCTACAACCAGCCGCCGAGAGAAGGTTCCATTCCGCCCACGTGGCTGGTTGTAGGATGGCCGAATATTAAAATAACGCGTTAAAAACTCTTCAAAACACTGAATAGCAAAGTTCTTTTTATCACAACCATTTATTTTTCAAGCCGACGTTTCGATGACCTTCTGTCATCTTCATCAGGGCAATTCTGACTGGTTTACTGTGCACTGACGCTAGACGTTTGTAACTATTATGATTCCTAACAATACATATGTAAGAAGACTTTTAATAATTTCTATTTGGGACTGTGATAGCTCAGTATTGTCACTACATTTGGAACCGCATATTTCCCTATGATGTAACAATGCCTAGTATGTATGTCACAATTACACTACATTCCGGAATGTATTGTAAACAGAAAAAAACTAGCTTAAGTGCACCATGAACTATGTAACACCTTTAGTGCACTATGCACCAAGTAACTTCTAGCGTCAGTGCACAGTAAACCAGTCAGTATTGCCCTGATGAAGATGACAGAAGGTCATCGAAACGTCGGCTAGTGAAAAATAAATGGTTGTGATCAAAGAACTTTGCTATTCAGTCGTTTACCAACCTGATGAAATTATTTACGGGTCTTCAAAACGCTGTATCGAAATTCCCACCCGCCCCGGAGCCTGCACAGGAGGCTATCCTCCGCCCATTGACGCTGGATGACAGGCTCATTGCCAGGCAGGGGTTGCCCTCCTTGGATGCACGAATCTGAAGTTACAGCTGTACAGATTACACACGGCACGTTTAGTCCTACGGGAGAACACGTACATCAGGGACGCGCCCAGGACCACGAACCGGAGAACCCGCAGGCCAGGAAACTCCAGAACAGCATCGTGCACGTCTTCTGGAGGTGCCCCGACGTCTGTCCGGCCAGCAGCCGCGGCGACGCGCACTGGGCAACCAGGTTGTCCCGCGTGAGGCACGGCGGGTGGTTCACCACGTCCAGGCAGTCACAGTGAAGAGGGTTCCCGCCGAAGTGGAGAAACACCCGCTCAGGTACGACGTCAAGGTGCTCGCACGGCAGGTGAGAGATGAGGTTGTTGTCCAGGTAGACGTGCTGCAGTTGTGGTAACATCTCCAGACCGGCCAGGGCCTCTATGTTTACCTGTGGAAGGATTTAGCAATTCTATTATTTAGCGGTTCATGATCAACAAACTTATTAATTAGATGGCTATAGGGCAAATCATCGAGCATACTATTAAGCTTTGGGAGACATATGTATACATACACGTGGCAGACCTGGAAAAACTTGGGCGACAACAATTAAATTCCATGGATGACATCCTCCGCAGACTCCTAAATTTAATGCAAGGCGGGCAAGAAAACAAGATTCCTACATTTTCAAATTTTGACATCATAAACCTTGTTAAACAAGAAATGATACCTATATTGTGTTAAGTTTACTGTCATTACAACATCCATTTCTCCCTGAAACAACTTTGAAAAATAAAACTTTTCAGTCATTGTACCAATGGCTTTGATTCAGTGGGAACATCATATATAGTCACCATCACGTATAAAAGGAATGAAATGCATCAAAGTAAATGACAAAACATAAAATCAACGTTCCGGCATGGCAACAGACATCTTTGCCCATTTTCAGCATGTTGGCCACTCTTTTCCCCCATAAAATCAGGCGAAACGTAATGCGCGTGCTGATGTCATCCATGAAAATTATGCAGATTATGCTTTGACCTTGCTATCTGACCTTGAAGTTTGACAAACCTGTACGATCTGGTTCCTCTGCGCCTTGAGCACCTGTAGTGACGTCAGACTGACAAACACGCCTGCGGGAAGACTGGTCAGTTTGTTGTAGGAGATGTCCAGACTGACCAGCGCCCGGAGGCCGTCCAGCGCGCCCGGGTCGATCCGCTGCAGCTGGTTGTGTTGAAGGTCCAGCGACTCCAGCTTGTCCAGGGTCTGGGAGGTGCAATGATAATTAGGTTTACCGAAGGAAAACATATTGTTTTTACTCTGTTTCCTCCTCTTCTTCTCCAAACAAATAAGGTCAATGACCTGAACCAGACGTCTGTCACCATGGTAACTGGTGTTGGGTTACATCATGCATATGTTGAAATTTTATAGCAAGATTTACACTCTTGTCACAATGTATGGATGTTTTGGGTAAGAATTAACGGTGCAGGCCATATGCGAAGGTAAACATTATGCATTTGCTTTGCAAATGTTATTTCATTTTATAACGATTCACCACATTTGTGAAATGATTGACATAACAGGTGACTACGTATCACCTCTTCAAAGATGTAAACCCCCAGACCAGACTGTAAGGTTTGAACCACTCACACCGGGAAGGACCCCTGCTCTTTTCGATAAGTGCGGTGGGTTATTTAACGTGCGTGGGGTGTGGCCGAACCTAAAGGTACTCATTTACACCTGAGTGAAGTGAGGAAAGTCGTGTAAAGTGCCTTTCGCATAAG